GCGCGTTTAATGTATAACATGTTGGCTTTAGTTTTTCCTTATGCAAATTTTAATGATATTGAAAAGTATTGTGAGGCAAGAAATATTAAATTTGAAAAAGATAAGTTTGATTTTAGTAGAAAAAAAATGAATACTCGGGGAAAGTTAATTTTGTAGAACGAGAGACTAGCTCAAGTGAAGTAAAGTACTAGAAAAGGGTACCATCAAATTTGCAGTAAAAGTAGGCAATCGGATAAATTGGATTGAGTTAGATAATGTGTTATATAATCCAAATCTAAGGAGAAATTTACTATCAGGAGCAAGGTTAGAAAAGGCAGGTGTTCATTTTGTGATTTCAAAAGGGAAGATGTGGATATACTTTAATAACTGGGATAGATTATGCTACGCTAAGAGAGGAAATTCCGTCAAAAATCAGTAAATGCCAAAGAATGGGATAAGGCAATGAAAGAAGAAATTGACACAATGAAGAAAAGAAAGGTTTGGGAATTAGTCGAAAAGCAAGAAAATAAAACTATGCCTGGAAACAAATGAGTCTATGCGCTAAAAAGAAATGAAAAGAATGAAGGGGTTAGATACAAAGCACGTTTAGTAGCACAGAGATTCAGGCAGAAAAGAGGTGAAGATTTTGATGACGTTTACAGTCCTGTACCAAATTTTTCAATCATAAGAATATTTTTCACTATACTGGTGTGTTTATATGGATGGACTAATTGTCAGTTAGATGTAAAGAACGCATATTCATATGCACACCTAAATGAAAAAATTTATATGACCCAACCAGAAGGATTTATTGAAGAGGAAAATAAAGTGTGTTTATTACACAAAGCCATTTACGGTCTACATCAAAGTGGACGTGAATGGTTTTGTGAATTTGAAAGTACTTTAGAAAATCTACATTTTAAGAAAATACAATGGTGTATTTGTGTTTATAAGAGTTCAAATGTAATTCTCTTGTTATATGTAGATGATATTGTGATTTTTGGTAAAGATCAATATAGTATAGATAAAATAATTTCACAGCTGAGTAAGTTTTTTTATCTTAAAGTATTAGGCAAAACTAAAACGGTACTTGGAATTGAATTCTTAGAGAACGAGAATGAGGTTTTTATACATCAGCAAAAATATATCAAAGAAATTTTTGAAAAATTTAAACATTTCCAGATACCAATAACTTCACTTCCCATAGCTAAAGGCACTATTCTTACAAAATTAGATTGTCCATCTACAAGTGCAGAAATTGCAAAATGCATACATTACCCTTCAGAAATCTGTTGCGATGTTTAGTTTTTGTAGCTAACAGAACAAGGCTTGATATTACATATGCAGTGAATATCTTATCACAATTTCAGGAGAATCCTGGAATTAGGCATTGGGAAGCATTGTTGAAATTGCTTGGTTATCTCAATAGTACTCAATTATATAAGTTAAACTTATCTAAGATTAAACATCTAAATTTATATTGTTATTCAGATGCTGATTATGCAAGTAATAGGGATGACCATGAGTCCATGGGAGGATTTATATTAAATTTTTAGTGAAGTACCGGTAATCTGGAAAACTGTTAAACAAAAATGTGTAAGTTTATGAACTATGGAAGCGGAGTTTATCTCCTTATCGGAGGCAGCAAAGGAATTAATGTGGATGAAAAATGTCTTACAAGACAAAATTTTAAAGTTTAATTTAAAAGAATGTAAACTATTTTGTGATAACAAGTCTGCCATTGATTTTTCTAGATCGCAAATAAAAAATCTTCGAACTAAGCACATAGACATAAAATATCACTTTATTAGAAGACTAGTAAATGATGGAGTGTTTGACCTTGAATTTATCACCAGTAAATCAAATACTGCGGACTTATTTACAAAAGCGGCAATTGCTGTTAGTTTAAGAAAGTTTTGTTTAGATGTTTTCAGCGTTTTAAAGACAATAAGTGTTTTCGTATGAATTGAACTATGAACTTCTGTAATTCTGTGTAAGTTTTGGTTTTGTCTTTGCATGAGGAAAAGAAGGCCATTTGTTGGCTTTAGTTTTTCCTTATGCAAATTTTGATTGGAGGTCAATCGGTGGTAAGCTAACGTGGTTGCCGCTGATTGGCCGCTGACATCAAGATCGGTAGGTTGGCCGAGTATTATATGTACGCCAGTATTGGCGAATGTCTTATTATGAGTTAGCATAATGCTAGTTTTCTTTCACTCAAATGATTTTAATTGTAAAGGCTACAGTGTTAGCTTATTTTATTTTAATTTACGAAATAAAGCATGATTTTATTTAGATTAGTCTTAGCTTTATTTAAGGGAAGCAAAATATGCTTTACCTTTATCACCAATGCCACCATAACGAACGGTATAAGCTAAGTTAAAATTATCTAATTAAGTTAATGTTGCAGATTGCGTTGTTCCTTAATCTTCTAATTGGATCCGGCTTATTATTTTTTGCAGACTGTTAGAGCAATTTTATAAAAGCAAGCTTGAACTTTCGATTATGTCAAAAAGAATTTACGATTCTGGAGCTGCCAAAGAATCTACAAAGCGAAAGCATGTTTTGATGTCCATCAAACAAAAAGTGGAATTGCTGCAAAAAATGGATAAAGGCATATCCTTTGTTTCTCTAACCATTCCAAAATCTGTTTATCAATTTCACGCTGCTCTGCCGGGGGAGGGGGGCATCGCGGCGCGCAATGAACTGGAAGTTCTGTCAGCAGTATCTTCAGGGCAGATGTTTTTATTTTATTCGGCTTATAATTCCTTACTAAATGTAGCATTTCATCTCAATGAACTCCATCTTTAATATGATTTAAATCAAATTCCTCATCATTATAAATATCATGAATAGACACCAAATAGTTTTCTGATTGCAATTTTCTAATTTTGACTATGCGTAATGTATGCTTTACGCATGTGTGCATTGAAAGAGATATTTAATAAAGTAAACAAATAAATATTAAGCTTTCTTTTGTATATTTTGATACCCTTTAGAATAATAATAATTGCTCTTTATTTCATAAATTACGGTTTCATATTTTTAATTTTATAATTTCTGCATGCCATCTTACCAGATTTGATTGATGATCTATAATCCGGAAAAACCGATAATCCGGAATTGAAGAAGTCCTGACGAGTCTGGAATAAAGATTTTTGACTGTATTAAATTCAGCGACAATACTGAATTCACTTTTTTCTTTCATCTAAAGCAACAGAATTTTAGAAATGACATGAATGTTAACATGGAAATAATGTAACATTTGCAGAGGAAATATTTTCTCAAATGCGAAAAGAACAGAATGCAACAAAACTGCAATAATGACAATATACTTAATGGCACACAAAGCCTTTACAAATGGGCCAAGATCGCAGCGCTTTAGTTTTTGCACTAAATTCATTAACTCAGCTATTTATATAATCTAAACGTTTAAGATTACTTCTGATATTAACAGGGTCTTTTAAATATTTTATAATTTTATTATTTCTTGAAACAGGAAGCCATCTGCAGAATGCTGCGGTTACATTTTTTTCGCTTCAAATAAACGATAATTCACAGACTTCCGTTTAACTCAGCGTGTCATTCAACGAAAACAAAACTGTATGAATCCCGCCTAAACGTCATTAAGCCAAGAGAAAATAATGTCATTGGAAAGTATGGCCAATTACAAGTATGAATTTTCCCTATTGCGTGTGGTGCGGTACAGAATGCTTATATGCCTCCCAGCCTCTCTATGTCGCCCAACACTGTGAATACAGGTTCTCTTTTTAAATGTTTTTAAGCATCCACGGCTTGCCTTACATGCCTTCTCATCTTCAGTCGATTTATTTGGTGTTTTTCGGAGAAGGTCCAACTACACATTCTTAGCCTTAGCGCAAATGATAGCTTCCGACACCGAATCATCTTTTAACTGCTTCTCGCTAATCCACATCAACAGCTTCTCAACATCTTTGATGAGTTTTGGACGGTGCTTGGAAGTAACAGTAAATTCTTTGGCCACATCAAATTTCTTAATTTCTTCCTTCTTCTAATAGTGCAGATCGTCTATGTTGAATCCATCGATGTCGCAGATCCATGAGTTTTCACCAGTTCCGTCACTCTTATGTTTAATCTATGTTTTCTTTTTTAATTTCAATGGACATGGCTTCTTTCTTTTTCTTTGCATCGTTATCTGAGGCAGCAATCTTCTTGGGAGGCATCTTGAAATAATGATTTTCATGTTAAATATAAAAAATAATTAACTCACAAGCACACAAACATGTACATCAAAGACCACTGAGTGATCTGATGAGGAGATTCTCTGAGTCGAGCCTGATCGGGAAATGGTGCCATGCATACCAACAGCCTGGCTGGCTGCTCGTTACTCGAGTCAATGCTCATATTTAAAGACGAATTTTTTGCTCATACTTTTCTCGTATCTCAAATTTCTTTTACATACAGGTGCTCGTATCTCGAGGTTCCACTATATGTAACAATGGTATAACATAATTATAGTATGTATTATTATATTAATTATAACATACCAACATAATATTATTAATTAGTGATAAAATAATAGTATGCATATATATGTGTGTGTGTGTAAATACTATTATTCAATCCTTTGAATAAGTTACCACTTCAGCACTTAATAACCTTATGAATCTCTTCTAAAAGTATGTTACATACTGTACTTCAGACATCTCCAACAAACATTATTTTCTGTATCCCTTTTAGTATCTTTACTTATTTAATAAATTACATTTATGGTCATGATATTTAAACTTTAAACATAGGCATAAAAAACACTGAAATAAAATGATCAAAATGTACAAGCACATAATATATGAAATATAAAATGCAAACTTATCTTAAGATTTTTTTTCCTTCATGAATTATCTGGAATATTTGCTCAGTATTATATAACAAAGCAAAGGAATTACAATAGTAACTAAAAAAATAAAAAATTTACTAATTTTTAAAATAATTTGAAGTTTAAAAGTTTTTTTTTTAAATTTAAATATTTAACTATCTTTAATTACCCAAGTGGGATGCTGATGCAGTTCTCATGAAACCATTTAGAGCAACCTCCACACTGCAGTTCAACAATGTTTAAGTTTCTTTCTCGTCCACTAGAATAAGAAATTTGAAAATAAATGTAAAAGTTAAATATACAAACGCTTGAAATATCTTTTACATTTAATATTAATCCATCAAATATACTCATTACAAAGTGCACTAAAAAGACTTTAATTAGTGATGCATAGTTGATGATACTTTAAGAACTCTTTGCATATTATGCAGGAAAAAAAAAAAAAAAAAGATTTCCTCTTCTGGTCCTTACTATTAATATCTTCTTATGATATTCCAGCAGGCAGTGGTCCAGCAAGCCACAAATTTTAGATGACTTAATGAATAAAAGTAATATACTGGTAGACAATTTTCATCATCTTTATCCTTGATTTTAGTCCATATACTTCCCATTACTTAATCTTTTATAAGTCAGGTTAATGTCATTGTCAATGACAATACAGATATGTTTCCCATGGTGAAACCATGTACTTTTTGTATTAATTTTTCTGATAGTATTATTTTACGTTTTAGTGACATTTAGCTTGACTATACCAGGCATGAGAAAGAAGTATTTTGTTGATTGTAATTCCAATATGTTCGCCTTTGGACAATATGTTCCACTTCAGGTTCTTTTCATCCTGATACAGTTTTAATGATTTGTACTCATTTCAAGATGCATATAAAAATAACATGACAAATTTTGTTGAATATGTGTTCACGTTTGTAGTTATAATTTACAGTTATTTATATTAAAACTCTTTAGTTATCGAACTGTAAAATTATTTTCTTTCACTTTGTTAATCTGATAGGCTTTGAGTAATACTATAATTTCAAGTAGATAAGCAATGGCTTATACATGTTTAAAAGTTGAAAATTTAGGTCTGCTGCATATCTGAAGGAATTTTATTTTTGCTCTATCTTTAAAACTTCCGGTTTACATCATAAGTTAATGAATTCGTTGCTAGATTTTAGTCTTCAGGTTGCACTAAGGTAATGTGCGAAACGTGCCTAACTATGGTAGGTCGTGCTCATTGTAAAAACATCATTACATATGTATTTTCTACTGAACTTTGGGGTTTTGTCTGTGTTTTCAAATGGCCATCATTTTTTTAATGGGCCCCAGAAATGTTTATTTCGCCAAGTTCTGCACCAAATTCTTACACATCTCATTTCTTTGTGGCTTTCTTATTGCTGTGCTTACTTTATCATTCGTGCCTGTTAAATTTTTAATTATTATGATTCCTACTCAAATATATATACAGCTGCTTTTAAGTTTTCGGCAGCGAATAATGCGATAGAAATTGGAAATCAAACTCGCTACATAATTTCACATTTTTTAAGGTTCCAGTAAGCCATTAAAGCACCAGGGGTGATAAGCTGTTTTGTATTATTTTAAGTCTCACTAGATGTAAAGAATTAAGTTTTATGTCAATTTTTACATTGTTGTGCTGTTACTTGTGACCACAGTAAAGACTAATAAAAGGCAATAACTCACCTTAATATGCACAGAAAACTTTTAAGGGTGACCAGTTAGTTACAAATAATTAAATTAGTTAGATACCCTTAGTCATTATAGATTTACATGGCCACTAATAAATTTATTTTTTAAAAATATATGTTAAAAAGCACTATTAATAGCACAATCTATTAACATGTCCCAGTTACACAAAGATACATGTAATTTATGATATTGATTCTTAGATGATGTTAAGATAACTACACATTGAAAGCTACAGAATATTTACGTTTTGTAGCAACAGTACTCAATGCATCTTTTTAATTTGAAGTCTTTCCAGATATTCTGGCTAATTTATATCAATTGTTTTCTCTTTAAGCATCTTTTCTAAATAGAAATTTGTTTCAGTATACAAACCAATATTCCCATTAGTTTCTACATGTTTTATCTCCTAACTTGGCAATCTCTCGAAAAAGTACCTATTAGGTTTTACTTTATCTGGTAAAAGTTAAATAGTCCAAAACCTCTGATAGACATGAACCAAATTATCACTATGTCTTAAAGTAACTACAAAGTCAGATCAAGGTTGAAATAAACCTACCCTCTTATTTAAAAAGACCTTAGAACTCAAAGGCATGTTCTTATGCTAGCAAAATCAACTTATGGTGATCCAATTAAACAGGAACTGTCGAATTTAAACTAAAAATGTGGACTAGAAGTCAAAGAGCACACAATTTAATTTTAATCTAAGCTAGCTCAGTAACACTTTGTAACAAACTCGTAACTCGTCGTAACATAGTTATCACGTAACAAATTCAAATATCAGCAATGATAAGGCAAAGATGAATAATTACAAATTAATGATAACACAAAGATGAATAATTACAAATCACCAGAACTGGTATGAACTAATACAGGTTGCAAGCAGAGGCCAGAAACAAATTCTGTCTTACAACCTCAAAATCTTAGTTTAGGAACTATCTAAGTGATTTTCAATCTAGTGAGGAAACTGAAAATTATAGCAAAAGCTGAAATTGTAAACAACTGCTTAATTTACATAATAATAACTGTACATATCTTTGAAGAGTAATTTTCTGACTCTTTATGTATTTGGTTTTTTTTCTCCAATATGTTTCCTCTTCACTTTAGAATTTTTGGATTCAATTAAAGATTTCTGTTATTCTAAAAACCTAAATGCATGTAGATTGTATAGGAAAAGGTGCTAATTTTATTTCTTTAGTAATGTGAACATTCAGAATGAATATGAAGTGATATACGGTAAGGGCCGATGTAGCAGAATTTTTAGAATTTAGTGACACACTAAGGAACAAAATCTAGAAATGGCAAATTTTTAGAATTTAGGATCCACAGACGTAAAACATTCAAATATTATGTTTTCATTGTTCTTTATAAAATTCTCCAAAATGTAAAAATTTATCACAGACTTTCTGTAAAAACCATCCATTATGTGCTAATACCATGAAGACATTTTCCTGGAATCTTAGATTCGTGGATCTGTAAATCTTGCCTTCAAATTATTCTAAACTTTGCAAGTTGCAATGTCTAAAATAATAAAGAAAAATTGCCCCTACCAATTCTGTAACAGCAAAAAGCCAGAAATATTTTAAAAAAAAAAAAAAAAAAAAAAAAATCAGAGGGAAAAAAAGTGTAAAATTAATTGTATAGAGAAAACTGATGTACATTGAGACAGCTTAAAACAAAGGCATTTGTAATTGATTACACAGCTATTTTGCTTTTGAAGAATTGTTTCATAAACTGTGCTAAAGCACAAAGCATTTATTACCTTGTTTACTTTTCAAATTCAAAATACTGTACAATAAGTCTGCAAAATCAAAAGTAATGTGATTTTATAATATGATAGCGAAAAATAAAAATTTTTCATTTTAATGTTATTTCTAACATAATTTTCATGCAATTGATCAATGCTATAATATTTTTTTAAAAATATCATCGAAAAATGCAAAGATTTCCAAATTAAAAATTTTCTATAGAAACCTTTTTTTTTTAATTGTATCCGATGGTTAGGAAAAAAGTTATAAGGGACTAAAATCTTACAAACAATAGAACTAATAACAAAAAGACCGAAGTCATTGTCTAAGGAACGCTTCCAGTATCTCGATTCTTCTGTAAGACGACTACGAAGAGCCCCAACATCAAAGCAGGTGGTTCTTCTGCAGAATTACGAAGTGGGCAAATAGGATCACTTGAAATGACTATGCAGTACAGGTGAGCGGCAAGGCAATCCTGTCCTGTAGACAGATAGAAAGCCACGACTGCATTGTGTCTTGGGCTATTGGGAATAACAGAAGAACTTATCATTCTTCAACTTTTTAACACTGAACAAGTCTGAAGATCTCGTAAGATATTAGACGTAAATAAACTTTTTAAAAACAGTTTAGTCCAATAAAAAATGGCTGTATTAGGATGCTGTAGTAAGCTGGTACCTCTTTTTGCAAGTAAGTCAGCTTGTTCATTGCCCCAAAGGCCACAATGACCAGGCACTCACTGGAGAGTTTTTTTGTTTCCCCATTTAAGTGAGAACTCTCAGGAATTCTGGACATTGCAAAATTTCAGAACACTACAAAACTTAATTTTTCTAAAACTTATTTTTAATGATTTTACAAAACTTACAAAATCACTTGAAAATTTAGAGTTGTGGCTCAGGTTGCTTATTGAACAGTAGCAATAAGCATATTGACGCTCATAGGCAGTCATAGCATTGTCTCGAAAGTGGTAAACAATTCTGGACATTGCAAAAATGTTAATGGATGTTCAACAGAGCTGACTGAATGAATGGCTGTGTGAGAATAAGAAAAAATGACTGCCTTTGCAAACTTGTAATGAATAGCTAATAACTGCTGTAGGGCTATACAGATGGCTACTACTTCGCCATTAAAGGAGGTATCAATGTACTCTGCTGGGGCGTAGAAAGAGAAGAGATTCTAAAACACACCAGCTCCAACCTTAAAACGACAGTCAAAGTGAGAACAACCAGTAAAAATGTGCAGCTAGTGAATAAGTGGATATCTAGTCGCAATGGTCTCCAAAGCGAGACATTTCAAAATGCTTGGTGCAATATTTCTTTTTCTTTGGATGGTTTTCACTAGGTCTAGCCTTACTTCAACATTAATCGCCTCCAAAGGGCTTCTGGTAGTCAAGAGAGGTTGTATATTACCTGGAATATCTTTCTTCAGGTCTAAGACTTTTTGAATAAATCCATATTGAGTTTTTAATTTCCTAGGCTTCACTGTATAATCCCTCGAGTAGGGATCCTCCATCTGAAACTGATCTTAAAATTGCCAAAATGTTGATAAGTCACCAAATTTCGAACCGTTAAATAAAGAATTCACATTCCCAAATGCAAAAAATTGTTTAAGAGCTCTTCATTAGAAAAAAGTGAAATAATTTCGAAATGCTTATGTTTCGCTTCTTGCTCAGAAACTTGAGTATCCCACCATTTATATTAGAAACAGGAACAAATTATAATCGATGAACCTATTCACCCATTCAAAAGACAACTATATTTGTCAATGAATCATCAAAAATATTTGTCCAAAATGTTAATTCACATTCAAAATGGCA